TTTTTTTTTAGAGCGTTAATTCAGATGATTATTTTTATGATTCATCTGATTTCAAATATTCGATATATAACTATATTGAAATATAACGTACGTCAAGACGAAACCTTGTACAACAATTCCAATAATTTCAGTAATTTAATAATTGTTGCTTGCAGTAGTTGGTTTTACAGCAGAAAACAAAAATTCTACCTGCTAAGATTAGATCTTCGATTTTTTTAAATTATAAGCGTTATTATATGTATATATAAACAATAAGAATTTTTTACTATTCTTAATAATACAAACATATAATATTATAATTGTGTTATTGAACTGCTGAAAAAATATTTTTACATCACATTTACTTCAATATTTACGTTATTTAATCCACTTTATATACAACCTTTGTAACTTCGAAATGAGAAATACAAGACAGATATCCTGTTTAGACTAGAAAGTAATCTAGGACGTGAATTTTATTTCAAATGTACTTTACGTCTTAGCCGTTAAAGCTCAGTTTACATAATACTTTTCCCGGACAACATAAAGTCCAAAATCGAACATATGACACCTTAAAATAATCTAAAGAATGCCTTAAAAATATTCTTACGTCTGGAAGATATCTTTTGGATTTTGTGTTGTCTGGATGTTTTACAAATTAAATATATAAATTTAAAAGATATTTAAGAGATCTCTAAAGATAAAGCAATGCTGTGTGCTGTATATGAAAAATTTTATTTTCGTATATTTTTTTGAATAAAGACATGTCAACGCCTCGTGCAGGCTGTAATCTCATGTAACGCAGTATATGTAGAAAAGAACTATTATTCAATCAGATGCTGACGTCACGAATACGGTAAAATTCTTAGCTTCTTAATCCGCTTAATCCTTCGATCGGTTTGTTGGCACATTCTTTGAGAAACGACGATGTGCATCTCGGCTTTTCCGTTAGCGCTCGAATTCCTGGTGCTCCTTCCTCTTACCTCTTCTGAATTACCGATGAGATTGCATAATCCAGGCTTTTCAGCGCATCCGCATTTTCTACAGACCGCTTGACTGACCATGTATCATGACTTGCAGTGTACATGACAGAATGATTTGTCATTTTTTTATATCTCGCAGAGATAATTCTGAATTCATCTGATATTGATTTTATCAGACAATATTGAGTTTATATCATGTGCAGATTATCTTTAACCTATCTGATAATACGAGAGATTTCAAATGTTTATAACAAGCAATTAACATAATTGACATTTTATATATATTAAATCTAAGGAAAAAAACACTCTTCAGAAGTTTTTTGATAATTTTCTAATTTTTTTAAACATTAGTTCTTTAATTATATAGAAAATGTCATAAATGCAATCTTAAACTTAAAGCAATAGATTCCTTCTCAAAGAAGGAATTATTCATTTTTTTTAATTTACAGGAAAGATTAATCTCTTTTAATTCTATTGCAGTTGTTAATTTAATTAAATTTTATTATACGAAGTACGCTTGGAATTATTTCTTTTAAATGAAATAAACAAGAAAACGTGAAATAAGAAAGAAACAAGAAAGAAGAATTAGTGAACTTCTATTCAGAAGCAACAAGTATCGTATTTGATTTGAGACGTTCCTAGAATTGTGTCGGAATTGGCCCGATCATACCAATTATTCGTGGTCGCTGAAGCGAGACAATTGGATCTCACACAATATTCCAGCAAATCTCACATTGTACATACGATTGCGTAAGTTTCAAGGTTGTGCGATGAAGCTTCACATGCACAATGATTTGTGTGAAATAAGCTATTAATTAAAATTAGTCGCGTAGAATATAAAAAAATATAAAATAGAAAATATAAAAATGAATAATAAAAATAAACTGTTTTCTATTAAGTATTTTTTTTAAACTAACTAACTAACTTTTTTAAACTAAGCAAATTTTTCGATTTTTAATCAACCTTTTTATAAAAAAAGTGAAGATACAGCTTTAAGTCCATAATTTTTATTTTTATATCGTAGAAATAAAAAAGTTGAAATTGTATTTAAAAAAATAACTAATAACTAAACAACTAAACTGAATAAATAATAAAATAAAATTCTTTATTTAAATTTAAATGAATTTTATTTAGATAAAGCATCCATTTTTTTAAATTATTTTTACAGAATAAAATATATAAAAATAAAATATAGAAAAATTAGATGATAAATAATGATATTTCTCAATAAAATTTTTTAAATAAATGCTTAACTATAAATTTTTTGTTATTAAATTCTGTAATAATTATATACTCCATGAAACCAAAGGCAAACGAGACGGTTATATACATTTTTTATATATTAAATTATTATTATTTAAAATATTCACAATTTCAATTATGGATGATTTAGGTATTACAACGGACGAATTGCTTCGGCAAATGCATTTCCTCTTGACACGGGACGAGGTGGCCGAGTGGTTAAGGCGTTGGACTGCTAATCCAATGTGCTCTGCACGCGTGGGTTCGAATCCCATCCTCGTCGTTTCGCTTTTTGTTGGCTCGCGATGATTCCTATCTAAAGCTACGTTCAAGAATTTGTGATATCAATTGAAATTTAAATTAAATTCGCGATTTCTGTTAATTTATCAATAATACGTGTAAATAATTCGATTCGACATTGTATACTGATTTAACGAATAAGATACGCATTTAATAACAAATTTTAATTACTTTAACATCTCTGTAATTATAGGAAATGATTTGCTGTGAAATGGCAGTACATTATTCATATGTTTTTTCAAAGATAAAATAGCGTTTTTCTTTTTTGATAAATAATTTTTGTACTAAATAATTAAAAATTACAAGGCTCCAATCTTTTCGTAAAAAATTTGTATTTAATTTAATAAGTATATGCCTTGCAATAATAGGAATATACAAATATTGTAAAATACTGTTAACACAATTGTAACTGTTATGAATACTTATATAATCCATAATTTGCAGAAGAACATGTTTGAATGTATCTCTAAGGGGAGACATCCGCAAAAAGATTACTCGGGAATAGTCAAGCGATATCTTACATAATATATATCATTATTGATTTGCATGAATGATTTGTTGCAAAATCGATAGAAACCTTTTTGTCATGAATCGTGTAAGTAGGGAATGGAACAATCGGTTATTTAGTACGTTCTAAAGAGAGAAGGAAAGCGATTGTTATTAATGGCAATGGCATGTTTTCTATAAATATATCGATACAATGTATATGTGATAATATATATTTATAAATGATGTGTGAGATATAATTTATTTGAATCTTATTTGATATCAAATTTTGATATCAAATGGTCACGTATTTATAATACATAGTCTACTAATAATTGGTTATAAGATCAATTTTATAAAAATGAAACATAATAAGAAAAGCAATTAATATGTGGTTAATATAAGAATAAATAAATATTCATATTTTTGATCGTTGAGTGAAATTACATGTAATAATAATAATAATAATAATAATAATCATGCTCCAGAAAATAGAGATTCACAAAACTTGATATTTTTATAACAAATTTCTTGTATGCAATAAATTTCTTATATCTTCATTAACATCACAATATGAAATTGTAACTTAATTCTAATTTTGGCATAAAACTACGTTTTGCAACTAAATATTCATTTATTTAAAACAGAAAGCAGTGTACAAAGTAAAAGTACAAAAAAACGATATTGATTCCGCACGATGACAAAAACGTCAATATTTGTTTATTCTGTAAAATAAATTTTAAAATCATTGACACCAATTCGGAATAATAATCGTAATTATGTTTTCATACATATTTTTAATAAGTTATGCAAAAAAATATCATATGTTTGTAAAAATATACGAAATATTATTTGGTCAAATATTTTTTACATTTTGTCACTCCAAACCATTATTGATACTTTTCTGTTTTGTTAAATATACAGTGATTAAAATTAATGTATGGATTTATTTCATTTGTAATTTATATTTTTTAAAAAGTATTTCAAAATAAATAATATTTAAAAAATATTTAATCTAATAGAAAAATTATTCAATAATTATGTAACATCGGTTACATTTGTTTTCAGCTTTCTTTTTATGAAATGTTATATTTTTATGTTAATTTTTATGAAATAACAAAACCTTTTATATCAATAATCAAAGATATGCTGAATACAAATTAAATATAATCATAAAATTGTAAATAAATTTTCTTTATAATATTTTTTGCTTTATTTTTCTTTGCTTATTTTTTCTCTATTAATGTTACCCTCATAATATGAGTTTTACCAATAATACATAAAAATAAATTGCTCGTTGCATTAAATCTCATGTCTTAATAATACGTTAAGATTATATATAATTACCTTGATGATACCGTACTGATAGATTTTTCTTGCAATTTCTTGTGTTAATTACAGCTTATAATATAATGTGCTGCTAATTTCCTATGACGTGATCGGATAATTATATAGTTCAAATCGAGAATTGATTTACATCTTAGAGCGTGAAATATATTTTTTGCAATATTAACCTTTAATCAATATATTATCTTCACATTTTTGCTTTATTGATCAATTAAATTAAATAAAATTCTATTTGCAAAATTTACACACATATTACATGTAATATAGAAATATGTAATATTAAAAAATAAACTTTCTTAGTCAATTCTTTTTATTAATATAAATACAATTACTTTTTTTTATATCAAAAAACACCTAGAAACATAAGAAACACGCGTATTTTTTATTTTAATCTATACCATATCGAAAATTCAAAATCAACAAAGGGAGGAAATGTATGTTTTCTTGTAAGTTATTCTTGAGAAACTGGTTTTATTATCGAAGCCATTATTCTGTCTTTAGGAATTAGAAAAAAATTAATAGATTAAAGACAGGCATGCGTATCACATGTATATATATATATATTCAGTGACATGACTCGAGGCCGCCACGAGGATACGCCACGTTTTTACGTTATCGCTCGTGGAGTACGCACGTGATCGAGCTCGATAGCGCGTGTTCTGTTTTATCGACCTTCTCTAGTGTATTCACAATCAGCCAAAGGACCTACTCGGTTGGAACCTTTCGTTTCTCTAATGCGTCTGATGTGTCGATATGTCACTTTCACAAAGAAGATTCGAAGAGACAATACCACTCCTTTCAAGTAAGTTCTGCTCTGATTTTTTTGGATGCTTCTGTTCTATCGACAATGATTCTCACTGGGATTTTCGATCTATCGAACTGTCACTTCCGTGTTATTCTTAATTGCATGCATCATTAGAAGCATTACTACGCAAAAGTAAACTAAGATTTAGTCTTTTCAACTTATGAGCATATACTTTTATATATATATATATATTTTGTATTTATATTTGCAATTTGTTTTTATTTTATTTTAAATGATTTCTATTTTAAGCGGGAATATTCGCGCTTGGTTTTTGAGATATTATTTATTTAATTAATTTTAATTATCTATCGTTTTTATTATTTATTATGATGGGCCTTATTAAGTAATATTATATTTTGAAAGTAAAAAAAATTAAAATAAATTTATTCAAAATATATTTGTATCTCTTAACTTAATATTCTTGCTAAAGGAGACTTCTCCTCGTCGTAGCAGTCGTGGCCGAGTGGTTAAGGCGTCTGACTAGAAATCAGATTCCCTCTGGGAGCGTAGGTTCGAGTCCTACCGACTGCGA